AATGACAGGTCCTACAACCCCAAGAATCCCCGAGCCAGATTGGCTGGGGGGGAATTCTGGGAGTTGAAGTCCACACCTCTTAAAGTTCCTAAGGTTGAGAAACACTGGGTTAGAGTGATGGGCCAGAACTAGGTTCAAGTCTATCGTCATTGGGTGGTTTTAATTAGTTGCTATCTCATCACCTGAAGGACAAGGACAAAGTCTCGTTTGAGGATCTGAAGGACGAGGACATTTCTATTTTACTTCCTTTCTACGGAATCTGCAAACAGTGCTGTTTTCTTTTGAGTTTTAGTCCTAATTAGCGTGGAGTTGGAAGGTCCACTTAAAATCTAGTTGCAATGTTACTCAGATTTGGAAATCATTACTGAGGATTTTCAGGGCTACAGTCCCTTCAAACTAATTTTTTTCCTACCAACTTCTGCCAGTATAACTGCTTTCTTAAAGTTGCCCATTCATTTTATTCCTCCTCTCACTTTCGCTCCTCCATTAGGGAGAACATCAGCTACTATCTAAATCAAAATTATGTAACCTGAAGCTACAGACCACACGTGCAAGCTTCTAACAAATTTAAGCTTTTATTATAAGAGGAAAGGGAAATGATTAAATAGAATGGGAATTGTGGAATTTAAAAGATTTGTTTTTAGTTTTAATTGCGTTTTAGTGTAAATTAGAGCGAGGTTGGTTTTTATCCTGCCCCATCTAGTTTTGAGGGAGTACGACTCCATAGTCCAACACTCAAAGGTTTAGCGTGGATCTCAGTCTGCAAATATTTGTGAGACCTGATTTAGATTTAGATTCCTTCACAGAGCTCAACGCCTACCCCACCCCACTGCACCCCGTTTTGTCCTCCCCACAAAAGTATGTACTTTATGGGAGCAAGACTGGAAAAGAAGTCTTAATCAATGTTCACAGTAGAACTTCTTGGTCATCTTCTCTACTTTCTTCTCCAACAGCTCTCACCTCATAAGCTCGGGAGCCAGTGATGTCAGCTAGTTTCTGAGCCCCACCAACACTTTTTTCCAGAGAACTACACTGGGCACTTGTGCTGGAATCCATCCAAACTGGACTGGTGCTGACAGAAAAACAACTCTGCTGGAAGCAAGGGGAGGGAAAAATAGCAGAACAGCCAATGAAGTCAAATAGCAACATCAGTCCGTCTTGCTTCCATACAGGAAGGTATAACTACGGTGCAGAGGAAATACTTTTAACGGGGCAAAACAGTCACCATTTTATTACTCTCTAGTTTGAGGCATTCAAGCCACAGGAAAACATTGCCAGAGGTTGCCTAAGATGAAGCAAGGTTGGGCTTCCAAAAGACAAATATCCAATACAATCCTCCCAGTATCAGCAGAGGAAGAAGATGCTTAAGATTTAGTAACTAGGTTGGAGTTGGGCTGTGAAAATGAGAAAAGTCCAAGCATCCCATTTAACCATGGCTTGCTATTGTCATGGATGGCCAAGGCTAGGCCTCCAAACCATGGTTCTGCACAACTTAGGTAATAAACTGGCAAGGCTAAAGGTTGTGGGATACCCAGAACTTTACCCCATCTCTTTTGGTGATAAGATGATGTTATGGGATGTTATTAAGCTGTTGGTACCTAAGTTGTGTTAGGAAGCCACAGTATATTTTGATGGTAAGGGGTGTTTTTAATGGCATTGAGCGACCCAAGTAAGATGCCTCTTCTGTACTGCAAAGGCAGCATGGTGCCACCGCAACACAAGCTCTGCCCATCTAGCATATGCCTTGTGATGTCATAAACGCATAAGAAAGGGGCAGAGCTTGCATCGCAACATTGCAATTACCATTTTAATAAAAGCATCAGATCCTGGGGATGCTTCTCTTTGGAATCTTGGGATTGGGTGATAAAAACTGCAAAAAAACTTTATTTTTGCAGTAAATAAAGACTTGTTAAAACTAGGAGATTCTAGAGCGGGAGCAAGACT